CAGATTACTGAAACATTTTAACGTGTCAAAAATAGGGATACTTGCAAGTGAAGACTACAAATCACACACAGCATCTTGCGCATGAAGTGTCTCACATATGTAAATGTACGCAAACCCAAGACTCAAATTTCACAGGCAGTCTCTGCAGACAGAGCGATGGACTATCTAATTTGCAAGGTGAAATCTATTTTATTTCCCTTCGATATCCAAAGGGTACTTCAGCAAGCTGCTTCTCACTGCTGAGGGAGACCAGTACCGGTAAGTCTCAGCAGTGTTTTATACAGGAGCCAAGGCAGGAAAGGATTGTGCTCCTACACGGTACAGACCTCTCAAGACTTTTTTTGTCCCCTAAGTATGTACGGCCCATCACATGGCAGAAGAGGGATCTTCTCTGATCACGCAGGGGAAGAGGGAGGGATGCCTGGTCACTAGGTCGCAACAGAGGGGCAAGGATTAACCTGCCGACGAAAGCGGGGGGTGGTGGGTGGGGGTCCCTTCATGTAAAACATTTCCCTTCTCCAGGCTTTAGCAGAGTGAGGCACGCAGCAGGAGCAAAACCAGGAGGCTCCGTGCCACCCTGGTTGCAACGCAGCACCCCAGGGGCTGCTGTGAGCCACCAGCTGCACCAAGCAGGCAGCTGGTTCTGGCATAAGAAACCATGCTGAGCACCAGTGTGGGACTGGGGGGGGTGGCTCGCTGCGACAGCCCCCAGCCCAGGACAGACACTACTAAGGAACAGCAGTATGAGGTGGGAGTCAAATGAAAATGTCTCGTGTGGAAGTGTGAGACTCGACAAATCTGATCACGGCGTATGCTGGAAGAAACTTCACAATTCATGAAGTCATTCTGGTCCATAATTAACTGAAAATTAATTACAGAATCTTGAAAAGAGCATAAAGCATAAATGGGCCAGCATACCTTCATAGTGCAGTTGCTCACTCTGAATCGCTTCCAATAATTAAGTCTAGCATATGGCACCGGAGTTAAAAAAACCAAAAAACAAGAAAACCCACAAAAAAACCCCGAAACACCACCACCCCCCAAAAACCCCCAACAAACAATGATTCCCCAAAAAGTTTTGGAGTCCTGCTTGCCAAAGGGGTATGTCTCTCTGCAGTGCGCACACATACTTTCTAGAAAGGAGAAGGATGAATTAACGTGGTATTTGGCAACTTCAGCTTTGCAGAAATTACAGGTTGCAGACGCTTCTTATAAAATCAAAACAAAAACTGAGAAAAGAACATCATTAGGTAAACTATTTGCTGACTTAATGAATAATTTTCTAAATATTATTAGAGGATATAAGAGCTTGGAAAATGCTCCAATTTTTCAACAAACAAAAGGAGGAGGTAAACAATAAAACTGCCAAATTAATTTGGTTGAGCATTCATGAAAAGGTGTATTTTGTATCACTGAATTACACGTATTTTCTTAAAGGTGCTTAAAGCACGGCATGCTGCCACACATCAAAATATTATTTTTTTTAGAAAAAACAATGTTAGCATGCTGGGAAATAGAGGATATGCCATCAAAATGAACCTGTAACACTTTGACACAGTAAACAAAAGAAAGAACGCTTCAAAAATATTGAGAAAGAATATAACCGAAAGGAAAAAAAAAACAACCACAAACAAAAAAAAGAAGAAAAAGATCAGTAGATTAATCGTGGATTGTGCAAAAATGTGCTGCAGGAAACATGGGAACGCTCTTTCTGATTTCCAGTTTTCCACTACAGAGATTAATATCTTCAGTAACAGTCGGAAGATAATCACAAACTTTTAAATTATAAAATTTGCTTTATAAACCCCCTATGGCAGCAACCAGGAGGAGCTGGGTGGCAGCCTGGGGTCCTTCACTCCCATTTATAGATGGGAAGAGCTGCAAAGGAGAATCAAGTTCTTTTCCAGCCCACAGGAGACAGGACCTTGTAGCCTAAGGCAACATTTCTTCTAGATCCACTGGAGTTTGGTTTTGTTTTTTTTTTTTAAAAAAAATGAGGGGCTAAAACATTATAATTATGTACAAGTGGAAAAGAAATCTTCATGGCTTCAGCAACTTGTACACACTTCAGCCCTGAGCTATGCTTATGACCCTTTTGCATATCATCTTACTCTGTTTCTCATGAACCAAACACATAGGTATCTCTGATACAGTTGGGTTTTTGTGTTTGCCTTTGCTTCCAGTTGGAGGGCAAGAGCTTAAACTAGATCTGCCGCACAAAGAGCACAGCACTGCGCACTGTGACTCAGCTAGAGAGTACTAGGTTGCAAATAGGACTTAAACTAAATTGCATTTATAAATTAATTTTCCTCCAGCTCCTTACTGATCACATTGCCTAACAAAATACTTGCACATTTTGCCTGTAAATCCAAATTAGAAACAGGTACAAGTCCATTTTTATTGGATTAATGTATATTCTTGGCAAAACTAGGCTGACCACCTGAAAACTATAAGTTACAATGTATCTTCATAATAACATGAACATATTCAGTCTATTCAAGCTAATTGTGAAGAAATGTAATTTAATACTGAACCTTGGAAATTTATATTAAGAGAAAATAACTGTTTTCAAATACGTATTAATCTCTCTTCTTGCTGTTTCTACCTCCTTTTTCATGATGATCTCCACCATATCAGAAACTCCCTGCAACAGCACACAGGAGTTCCCAACACTGCGTCCGAGATGCTGTGCTGCTCCTCCGTAGATGCCCAATGTAAAGCTCACCACTAGAGAAGAAGGACGGCCTAAGCAGCAAACAGCCTGAAGCTGCTAACGTTTCCTCCCAGACCTGGGCTGGCTCAAAGCCCAAAATGTCCGTTAGCATCGTTTGGCAGTCCTTGGGACTCTCCAACAGTAACGCTGCGGGCACTTGACCTCTCTGTGGCAGTTCCCTGGCCTTTTCTCTCCTGGACCATGCAGAAGACACCATATTGCAATGACATCCAGAGCCGTTCCCCCACTCTTTCATTCGTGGCAGTGATGGAAGGACTTTGTTATGTCATTTTAGCTCCTTTACACCATATTGCAATGACATCCAGAGCCGTACCCCCACTCCCTCATTCGTGGCAGTGATGGAAGGACCTTGTTATGTCATTTTAGCTCCTTCACATGGCATAAGGGGATCAAATCAGGAAGGAGAATTTCACCTTAAGTTTCTCTACATGAAGAAAATCACCAAAACGGCTAAACCACAAAGCTCAATCGCACGCCAGCTGTGAGCTGCAGAGGCAGACTTGGCCTTCTAGGTCATTAAATACAGCTCACTAATTACAATTTCGACCAGACTACCAAGCTCCAACACAAGAGAAAATTTTTCAATACATTCCTCATTTACAGTATTCCAGCCAATATACAAAAAATAAAGCAAGCCCCTCAAGCAAAGTTTACCCCCTTCCCTTTTTTTTTTTTTCCCCGCAGATGACACTGTGTGAACGCATCCTTTGAAACACCCCAGGAAGTCGCAGTGATGAACTCGTGACACTGCAGACAAAGCGTCACGTGTCACCGTTTCAAAAGGTTATCAAGTTGGCTGGCAGCTCTGTATTTTGCTAGAGTCCCAAGCACACAGGGCCATCCAGGACGGCAAGCTTGCAGGGAGCTCTGCCGGCGCTGCGCAGGGCATGGCCACGGAGGATGCCCTGCACCAGCCGCTGGTGGGCTGCAGCAATATTTCCAGCACTCCAGGGAGCTGGGCTTTGCGCTCCAACACACGTTTTCAGCATCTTTTTTGGGGGGAAGAAGGAGCTACTACCATGGAGCTCCTCTTTCATCAAATACAGGTGCCATTCTGCTTCCCCTGCTAGATTCGACAGTGCAGATCAAAATCAAGCGAAAGCTGTCTGCCCCCAGCATGCCACAATCTGGCCCCATTTTCCTTTAGGAAGCAGAAATAAGGGACCTAAGGGGCAACACAGCATCTCAAAATTGGGGAATAGGTTGAAAGAGGTCTTAACAGGGCTACTCTCTCCAACAAAGTAAGGAGTGGCTTGCTTGAGTATTTCTGCCAGGAGACAAGACAGAAAAAGAAGTCTGGGAGGTGGAAAAAGGTACCAGGCAGCAGGCAGGAACCAGGATTTTGCATATAACCTATGAAAGACAAGCAGCTAAATCTGTCTGTAGAACTAAACTAAGCTACTGGGAGAATAGGTCCAGGAGGGTAAAAAGCAAACTGCGAGAAAGGAAACGATTTGGAGGAATTAATGTGACCATGTTCTAATTTTCTGGAACAGTGAGAACACTCTAAGGGAAGGGTCACCCTGTGCATCAGGGAAAGGACCTGCAGCAGCATCCAAACCCCCGTTTCACAGACAACATAATAAACCTAGGAGTGGTGGGAAAAAGTGATTTGTAATACAATTTGCTCAGGTGATGACTTGAAACAAGATACCCACTGAAGCACAGCCAGAATTGTGTAGACATTGCAATTGAAGAATTAAAACAAGGGAAAAAAACTATTATAAGTTTCGCTATCATATTGTTTTCAAAATACTTTTGAAAATTATTAAGAAAAGGTTTTGCCTTTTTGTTGTTAGTATACGAACGATGGAGTAATATCATCAAAATTATTGCATGTCCCAACAGTCACAGAAATAAATCAATATAAATGTTGATTAAGCAACAAAAGACGTTGAGAGGTTTCACTGTGTGTGAATTTGCTTTCATGATGGTGTAAAATTTTTTTTCGGTATTTGAGAGAATGCTCATCACCAAAAAAAAGCAAGCAATACTTGAAACCTTAACACTTTTAGCTGGATGAAATTCCACTAAAATTACTGTCATCATAAAACACCCACTTTCTTTTTTCTGAGCTATAAAATACGTATCTCCAAAACCTGATTTAGAATGACAATAGAGTTTATTAGCTATTAAGCACTTCTTCAGGATAATTCCACCTTAAACTTTTGAGATTATGCAGCTGCCAGAACTATAAAAAGTCTGCACATTTCCCATGCTTTTGCCTAATCAAATTAAGAGACCAAACTATTAATATTCTGCTTACCTCCTAAATTCATTCCAGCTTGCAGACATTTCTGTAATCGACAGGCTGGGCAGTTCTTCCTCCGAATCTTATCAATTATGCAGTCATTCCTTCCCGCACACAGGTAATTGTGCTGTCCTGAACGAACCAAAACCAAAAGGCATTATTAGAGGATGTATTTACATAATTCCAATTTGTTCTTCTCTGTTGTTCCGCAGTCATTTTGAGCTTCTTAGTAATGCAGACATTCTCAATCTCATTCTTTAGCCTTCCCAATAATCTTAGTAAGACCCATGACAAGGCACCATGAGCACCTCTGCCGTTTAATTTGATCTCATTCTTTAGCCTTCCCAATAATCTTGGTGCCTTGTCATGGGTCTTACTATGAGCACCTCTGCCGTTTAATTTAGGAAGAGTTTTGATGTGTCACTCACAAGAGAGCTCTCAGTACTTTTGTCTAAGCAAGACTGGATTTTTTCTTTTTGCGAAATACAAACGACTGGTTTGAGCTTTTTCAAATCTTCTTACACGCGCCATATCACAGAGCAGCCCAACAACTCAGTTTTGGTATAAAACCAGGGCCCATTCTCATGCTAAAGAAGTTCACAATCTAAACCAGAAATGCAAAGTAGAGGTTAACTTTCCCAATACACTCCACTCTCTACAACCAGTTCACCAAGTGCTTGATTTCTGATTTAATCAGTTACCTCCTATACAGCAGAAGGTTTCTGAAGGGTTTACCCAAACAGGCTTAAATCACAGCCGCATCATTTCAAGTCCTGTGAGGCCCCGCAGAAACACTCCTGAGGAAACAGCAGGTATTTAACACACAACATTTAGCAGAAGGGAAATACATGGCAACCAGGGAAACAGGCCGGCATTAACTACTTGGAGACGCAAAAGGCGCTTTGCTTCATGGTAGGAACATAGGTAGAGCAAACAGATGCAGGGTATCAGATGAGGACACTACCACGTGGACTTTTCAAAGTAAGGTGCTTGAATTTGATCTGGATGAATAAAGGAAGCCATGAGGGGCTGGCGCAGCGTGACAGGAGAAGCAAGAGAAGAAGATTATTTTAGCTGCCCCAATCCAGAGGTGGTACACGGGGATCTGGGGCGGCCAGAACAAATGGTCTGCAGCAAACGCAACAAAAAGCCATGCAGACGGTTTCTAGAGGAAGGATGAAAGGAGAGGACACAGCACAGAGAAGTACAACAGACCGTAAGGCAAGCTGCAGGATTTGTCAGCATGTGAAGTTGAAGACAACAGTTCTGTGTAAAATACAACAGTGTGTTGCAGGCTTACATAGTGGGCACTGTAAGAACTACCAAGTCTCAGGGACAGGCATTTTAGACGTAAAGTAAGAACCTAATTACTCCGTGAACTAAACACAAGTTCCTAACAAAGATGTCTGGTGTGCAAGGTAGAGGGAAAAAAAAATAATTCAGATTGCAAATGCAATAACACCAACCAGTAACCAAGTAGAGACACTCCTAAGGAGGTCGTGAATGAAGCAGGTGAGCTATGCAGAAACCCAAGAGTTGTACAAATGACGTTCAAGTTGACACCAACGACCGAAGCAAGCACAGCCGTGGGTGGGGAGGAGAAGCCCGGGGAGGGCTCAGAATCAAGAGTTGCACTGAAACGCACAGGAGGTCAACGCGTGCGGGGAGCAGGAGCAAAGATGCAGGTTTGATAAGGGGACAGAGCTGCTCTTAGGACGAGAGGTATAAGATATGTGTGCCAAGATACTTTCCACGATACACACATGTTTCCTAGGGGAAAGACAAAGAGAAGATTCATGGGACACAGGAGACCCGACTTCTGCTTTGGGCTCTTTCAGGAATTTGCCTTAAAACTTCAGAGAAGTCATTTTCTATCTCCGCATCCGACTTCCCTTTACCCTTACCCAGTGTTATCTATTTAGGCAGTGAAACGGAAGTTTGGGCTGTTTCTTGCATCTCTTCACTGAGCATCTCACGCAATGAGAACCGATCGTGTTTGAGTAAGCAAAGTGTTACTGTAATATCACAAAGGTCTCATCATTTAGATAATGCTTTAGAAATTTAAACAACAAGCAGATGGGCAAATCGGGGTTTTTATTGAGGGACCTTACCTAGCACTGCAACACAGATGAAAACCAATAAAACTTAGGCAAAATAATTCATGAATATGAGCTCAGGAAGTTCTATCAGGCATAAAATCAAGTTGTACAATATAGTGACAGCACCAGTATCTATCAGCTGGTATTTAAGTAGGCCTGCTAAACAACAGAAAGATAAAATATTCAGCTAATCACAAAATTAAAATCTGCTTATCACACAATGTTTACTTTATGATGTGATCTATACAAAAACCAGATACACAAGAGAAAAGTCAACTTAATTCCTATTTACATTTTTGCTCTGTACTGACTTGAGCACATCTCCTAAAGAAATATCACGCAGATAGCATGAAAGTAAGGTTAAAGTAGAAAACAAAAGCGTTTAAAATAATGATATACCATATAAAGATGGTTTATATGCCCTTACAAATATCGGTATACTATCTTTTTGTGGTGAGGAGGGAAAAATGGTTATTTTCTGCTATGAGTGCAAGAACGATTGCTCAGTGCTCATACAATGTCCTTTGTACATCACAGAGTACTGCAATACCATTTTTAGGCTTCCACAGGCGGGTGCAGGCTATTAATATGACAAGTCAGCTCTAGCACTGCAAAACGAACCCCATCGCAGAACTACCCTGAAGGCAGTTTGCTCTACAAAATTGTACACCTGCTAAGTCAACGTTTTTCGCTACTGCTTTCAAAAGTTAACGGGTTTATTAAAAAGAGATTAACATTTATGCACCCCCGGATAATTAACTGGGTCATGTTCTTAAGCATTGTGGAAATGTTTATTTGATTCAATCACTGTCACACTGTGACTTCATAAGAAATATTCCCACAATAGCAGAATACTTCTGTAAGTCACCCTTCAAATGGTTTAGGTAGCCTGCAATTATTACTTTCTGGTCTATCTACTCTAGACCAAATAATTTCAGAAAACATAACTCAGTAAATGTTCATCAGTTTTTGAATCATGCATCTCTGAATACCAATGTATGGTACAAGATCTGTAAATAGTTTTTCTAGTAAGCAAGGCAAAGTCTGTCCAAAAAGCAAATGTCTTCTTGTCAATTTTTTTGATTTCTTAAAAGAAAACTTAAATAACCACAGTCATCTTAAAGCTTACACTAACGGAATTAACTTGAAAACCCTTAAAAAACAGAATGGATCAGCATTTAGGCAAACCCTCTACGTAGGGTACAGCTACGAAATAATAATGAACAGTTTTTCATTCAAAAAGTTTATCATCTATAATGAAAAAAATGGCTTCAGATTTCCACGCACTCAAATACGGTACGTTTCAAATAAAACCAACTTTGTAAAGTAAGTTAGCAAAGCAAAGGCACTCATAATGAATCAGTACGTTCCATTTGTTTAGCACGAGCCTCACTCATGTCCCTCAACTTCAGAATCAAACCAAAAACCTACACATTTGAAATTGATGCAGCTTGCTCAAGACTTCCAAGGCTCTTCCGGATCTCAATGAGGTGATGGAGACCATCCTGATGTTTCTGTGGTGCTAGATATCCAACACTTTCAAGACATGTATCCATCTGCTTGTGTAGTTTGTGTTTAGCTTAATTCAGTTTAGTTCTTCTTATCCAGTTTAATCACCCACAAGTGGGCTGGAAAATGACAGAGCAGATATCCAAGTCTTGTCTCCCATGTGCTAAATACATTAAGATGAAAGTAATTCTTACATGTGCCACCATTAAGTGCACTTATACGAGCTAATTCCTGTTTCATCTAAACTACAGAGTTACAAAAGCTGCCAGGAAAATTTTCTGTTCAAAATAAATAATTAATAGGTACTACACAGTTACACACTAAGAAGAAATAGACATCTGTCCTATTCACAGCAGAGCTAGAGGAATATTTGAGTTTGCACTTTCCAGGTTATTGTGTCACCACATACCACAGAATGACACATCCAAATGTAGGCACATAAATACTTTAATGTTTCCAACTCTCACCTGCAAAGACTCTTTAATTCCCTGCTTTATAGGCTTACAAAAGAAAACAAAAAGGAAGCATTCATGAAATTCAATCTTCCCTCTTGCTACATTTTCTTGAACAAGCAGAATTCAGCAGTAAAGAAGGGGAGGAAAAAAAGCTGTTCTTATTTGGCCTATGAATTACTGCCAAAATAAGGCTGCAGCAGCAGTTGTGCCTTTCCCCAGTTTCAAACTCCAGCACAACGCTTGAGCCATTGGTCCCATCATCCCTAAGATGAGCTCATGTACGCGTGCAGGGCACTGCTGCGCTCTTCAAGGGGCCGTGGTACTTCCAGACATGTAAGGCTGCAATAGGAATGGGGTACAGATATTTGTCAGCAGTATCTCTGTTCCTGTCTAAGGCAAAATTAGAAAATGACAGAAATTTCTGAAATATTCCACACGTTCTATCTTCCTCCTAAAATTTTTTTTCTTCCCCAGGTTTTTGAAGTCTAAGTCAGGAACCGCAAATCATTAATGAGTCTTCTATATTTCTGCTCTCTTGCTAAAATAGCAACTACTATGATCAAATGTTAAATTTTGTAATGAAAAAAAAAAAGCATAGTGTTGGAAGAGGATCCAAAGACTGTTTAATTCAAGCCCACTCATGGAAGCATGATAAGACTAGCTTAACAGTTTGGCCAGGTGGTTTTGGTTTGTTTTTTTTTTCTTCCCCCCTTTCTCTAAATTTATCTTAAAACCTTCTGAGGAAAGGTATTCCACTACTTCCCTACAAGCCATGTGATTAGGCTAGAGATTAGCTGGCCTTGAAGCTCTGTTCTTTCCCTTTACATTTAACCCAAACGAGAATACTCTGCAACTGAAAGATATGTTAACACCCCCTCCAAGACATACAGAGTAATAGATTGCCACCTTCTTCCAACAATCTCACGCCTATCGAAAGATTTATGTTCCCCATCTCTCTGCTAAACAAATCCACTTCTCAATCTTTCCTCATAGGTCACGTTTCCTAAACCTGTCATCATTCCTCTTATTCTCTTCCAGCTTCTTTCATAAAAGAGAGTGCCCAAAAGCG